CCTGAAGAGGGGAAAAAGCAGCCAGGATCACCCAGCTATGGTGATTGACCGGACCACGCCCCTCCTCCTCCTCTCTTCCAGGCTGCTGAGGAGCACAGCTGAACTGAATCCTCCTGATGAGCCACACCTGGGATAAAAAGGCTGTGCCTTCAGCAGTCCAGGAGGCAGCAGTGCAGGGGTTCTGCTGTCCTCCAGGTCTTGTTTGGTTTAACCCCGTCGTTGTGATGAGTTTTAACTTATAGTTTTAACTCTGAGTGATCCACATGGACCTTTTGTGCATGTCACCTAGTGTTGACTGTGTTTTAAGGTAAACTCAGATATAGTTTTTAGACTTTTATCAACGTCGTTGTGTTTTTAAAACACCTTCAGTTTAGGTAAAACTTTTAATAAAGTTTTAACCAGGTGTTTTATATAGTTGATAATTTGTCTTTTAACTGTTAACCTTTATAGTGAATTTTTCGTTTTGCATTATTTTAATAATGCTCGCCATCTGTTTGCTCTTGTTTTTAGAACCTTTTATCACAATTAAACCCATTTTAAACGCCACTGTCGTATTTCTTATGTTAGCCCTCCTTCACATTTTAACATCTCCTGTTGGGGACGTAACAGTAACATTGTGAAAATCTAATGAACAAAGCATTTTGTTTTTAACCAATCAGACACTTTCAGACAACAGATCCGTTTCCACTACCAGAACTTCAGGATAGATGTACAGGAAACCTCCTGACATGCACTTGACCAACTGAACAGCCGTTTTCAGGAGCCTTCTGAGTACCGGCTCAGGGGTAGGGACCCTGTACAGAGTAGCTGAGCAGAACCTCAGGTTAACTACTCTGATTGGTTGCAACACAGTAGGAAATGACATGGGACATCCCATCTCCTGAAAACTTGAAACACAGCTAAAGAATCTTCTTTGACATTCTTTAAGAATGGATCAGTAACATAAGTTTCTGAGCACACACAGCTAACCTGTTCCAGTTCTGTCCCCAACCCTGCGCCCTGCCCGCGAGCAGCAATGTCAGCTTTTCATAGTGTTCAGCAACTTTGTCATGAATGAACAAATGCTTCCAAAAACCGTAGACTGCCATTTGAAGTTCTTTAACTAGCATTCTATACAAACCTTTCAAGTAATATTGTAATGATAACTTTTCCAAACACGCAAAACAAAAATTCTTATAAAACAAAGCTGAAAATATTTCAAATAAAAATGTGATGAAAACACTAAATTCTAAATCGTTTGAACTGAAGTAAAACGTAAAAACAGACGTAACATTTCTTCTTCCTGCTTTCCCGATTCATTTAAAATGTTTTTTTTGCTCATAAAAGTAAAGTTTTGATTGAACAGCTGCAGATCAAATGATGCTTTGCTGCATTTTTGTTGACAATATTAAAATAATGTTGGAGGGTTTTCCTTTTTCTCTGCAGCTGGATCAGCTGATTCACGGGTCTGACGCAGAGCAGAGCAGAGCAGAGCGAGAGCTTCAAAAACCAAATGAGAGAAGGAACTGAAACTGTCGAGGGAAATTGGTTGAAATAACTCACAGGAGAGGTCTAAAGGTCTGGAGCCGGTGTCCATCATGTGTTTACAAACAAACAGCATTTAATGTGCTTTAACGAGCTGTTACCGCAGACAGGACCAATAAGCAACGCCACCCCGTCTTCCATCACCGCTCCAGCCGCTGAGATCAGAAACGGGGATCTGTGCTGCAGCTAATCTGCATTTTCCAGGAGAACACATTTACCGAACGCTTTGTGCCGTAATCAGATGGATATTACAAAAAACAGGGACGGCTTGACATCAAATTTAAAAGCCGTTCCTCGTTAATTACAAGTCAGGCAGAGCAGCTCGCTGGCTGCTTCCAGGAGAGTGACGCGCTGGAGACCCTGCTCTAGTGGAAACGAAGGCCTTGTGACTTGATCTCCGTGGGAAACGAGCTCTGGCATTCCTGTTTCAGGAACTAGAAGGCCCAATCCCAATACTCGCACTTCCACCCTGGCGCCTTCAATTACACAATCCCGACCAGGGGTTTGAATGTGACCCTCGATCCGTACTTACCCCACAATCCATTGCTGTGGGAGAAACGGCTCAAGTTCCTTTTCTGAAAATATGAAAAAGTATTTTAGGATGACTAGTTGATGCTCTGAAACTTTTAGACAAAGCAGCAATGAAAGTAAATGTATTGTTTGTTTGAAAGTTGTTAATAAAGCTTTTTTTAAAGTATCACAGCAACCAGCATCCCATCATGCGATGACCCAATACTCACCATCTCAATTCGCCAATTATTTGCACACTTGTGCACTACGCAGTCGAAGCCTTACTGCACACTTTCTCCAAGTGCGCTCTGCTGAAGACCGCAGGGCGAGTGTTGGGATTGGGCCGAAGTAAGCCAGAGCACGGAGTCTTATTTCCTGATATTCTGACATCTCTCCTCTGATTGGCTAACAGCAACACGACTCTACCACATGACAACGGGTCACGGGTGAATAATAATAAGACTTATTAGGATTAGGGTGTAGGGATAGCTACTCCCCTTCACTAACCAGCTAACTAACCCTTCCTTTGGGGACATTTTGACTTGTATTATCTCTGAGGAGAAGAAACGGTTTTCTGTGGGTGGCTAATGCAGGAAATGGGCAGAAGACTATTTTCATGTTTAGCCTGCATGTTAAACTCGGGCGACCCATCACATTTTAATAAACAAGTTAAAAAACAGTTTCTCAGTGAACTTAGACTTTAACAGGATGTTGCCATGCCAACCCATTCTCTGATCGGCTGCAGATAGGTGAGCTCGGGTATCTGGGAGGGGCTCAAAGTAGAGCCACTGCTCCTCCAGCGTCTACGGGTGATGTTAAACGATAAACGGCCCGCACTTGTATAGCGCCTCTCAGAATAAGGACTCCAAAGCGCTTTACACTGCAGTGTATCATTCATCCATTCACACTAGGGCTGCAACAACGAATCGATAAATTCGATGAAAATCGATTACTAAAAGCGTTGGCAACGAATTGCGTCATCGATTCGTTGTGTTGCGCAACTCTTCCAAAAGCCCCCTCCCCTCCCGCCCGCCGTTGCGCGCAGACCGGTGGAGAGCCAGCAGGTGTTTGTAAGAGGAACATGGCAGAAGCAGCGAGACCCCCAAAAAGTAAAAACTTCTAAAGTTTGGGAGCATTTTCAGTTAAATCAGGCGAAGACATTCAAAGTTTGTAGGTCAGACTTAGCATGGCATGGGGATACTACGGTGATGATGCAGCGTCTTAAACGCAAGCATGTCAGAATCATCAGCGAGGAAGGAGAGAGCTCGGTGTCTGGGTAAGTTAAAAACTTTTCAAAAGTGATTCACCCAAGCTCCGGATTATTACACAAGCTAGACATGCCCTAAGCTCGTAAAAAAAAGTCTTTAAAATTGTAAGCGCGACGCTATTAGATATGCGGGGGGGGGGGGGGGGGGGGGGGGGGTGCGACGACTCGCGCCGCTGCGAACCGGTTCCGCCGTCACATTCCCGCAGAAACTGGTTGATCACACCGGGGCCAGACTACTAGCATGTGGCTTTACAACCACAATGTCCTCAGAAGCGAAAACGCTTTTAAAAGGGAGGGAGGAGTCCTAACTGTTGCTGCAGGCGTGTTGTGTGAGAGTGCAGTTATATACTGGTTAATATATTTTTGGGTTCAGTTGCTTTCATGTGGCCTAATGTGAGTCTATTTGGGATCATTGGAATGATCAGCAGCATTTCTTGATGTGACTTTATGGCAGTTGCCCAGGGCATCATCGCAAGGAGGATGGCATTCATTTACTTTTGTTTTATTTGGTATTTTTCAGTCATTTTTGGAAATAGTGATTAATTTTGATTAATTCACAGCCTATGTTTAATTACATTTAAAAATTAGTTGTTTGACATCCCCAATTATAATAAATATCTACAGATGAGATCAAACAAAACAGATGAGAATTGCCCTTAAAGAGCAAGTCACCCCCAAATACTTTTTTTTTGCTGATAGACTAAATAAACGAGTGTCTAATCATGCTGCAGACACGTGTCGTCAATAATTTGGCACTTCAGTGCATCTTAGTTAAAATTTAAATATTCTGCCTAAAACTGGCAGTGTTGTGCCGTTGTCAGGTAAAAACTCTGCACTGTAGTTTAATTTAAATCTGCCACCGCTATTGGCTAAGAGGTATGCTATGATGTCATCTGGTACATTATGATGTCACAATGCTGTCCTGAGCCTGTGTGTGTGTGTATTTGTTAGCGGCTCCGCCCTCTCGGTCTGCCAGGCAACAGCATGTGTTGCATTTTTCAAACATGAAGCGGGAGTGGAGTTGGACTCTGGTAGGGGTTGACTTGCTCTTTAAGCTGTTTAACTTGGACCAAGCATTTTAGGTCACAGATAGGTGTAGCTTAGGGTCTCTGTCTATACACCTTATAAGACAATTTAGGTGATGGCATGTTGTTTTTCTGCTATTGAACTGTTTTCTAATAATGTTGTGTTTAATAAAGTGAGGGAAGGAGAAAAATAACGTTTCCCTAGCAGTTTTTAAAAATGTCCCTATGTAATCCGATTAATCGATTAATCGTGTCGAGACCCCATCCGATTAATCGATTATCCAAATAATCGTTTGTTGCAGCCCTAATTCACACACACATTCACACACTGGTGGGGATGAGCTACGATGTAGCCACAGCTGCCCTGGGGCGCACTGACAGAGGCGAGTGTTTCCACTCTGATGAAGACACTCTTGGTGTTGAAACATTATAAAGGAAGTACTGACTGTTCATTGGATGATTCAAATAGACAGGCTCCCTAGGTTGCTGGTTTGATGTTTCACTTCTTCAGAGTGGGTTTTTGTAGCACTTGCTCCACTAAAGGATGTTTCAGTTAGGAGGACAGCAGATCTACTTCAACCCTGACTGAAGTGGAGTTTACAGTTTAGTTGGATGAAGAATGACAGTTGTACGCTGACAGGGTCTTTCATGAGAGAAACGATGTGCTGTGAAACCTGCAGTGAAGCTCCAGGGTAGAAAACATCTCCTTCTGCAAACTGACAAACTCCTCCAGCAGCTGAGCGCTTTCCTCTCCAGTCTCATCCGCCGTCACTCCAAACATCTCCACCTGAAGAACAGAACATCAGCTGTGCTCATCATGCTTTCCTCATGATCAAACATATCAGGGTTTTCCTGGCTCAAACTGAGGCAGAGGTGGTACCATCCTGACTGTGCACCAGCACATGTGTACTCTGTGCATTCAACTGCCTCACTTTTTTAAAGGCCAAATATGTTATCGTTAAGTGTTCTAATCTAAGCTTCTGTTAATAGAATATTCCATTTGACAACGTTTCAAGTGAAACAAAACAGGTTTGCTGCTAAAAAATATGAAATAAAACAACAAAATTATCAGGCTGAAATAACAGACTCTTATTATGAAAGTCTCAATAATATGCATTAGACTAGTGTTTAGTTCCTTTTTCCATCTGATATTTATAGTTGTAATATCTTTAAATATTTGACCTACATTTCAGTAACATTTAGGTTTGTATTAACAACACATAAATATATGCAGTAAAATATAATGCATTTCATTAACATGCATTTGTGTTGGAAATGCTAATAACATTTAATTTCTGCTGCTAACAATGTAACGGTGGCATGTCTATTATGTACGGGTTAGCAATAATCCAGTTTAAATTATGTTCAAAGATAGAAGCGTTTGTGAATTATATACTACAACGGCTTGCCAGACTTATAGCAGTAATGTGACCCGTACCTGCAGCGGTTCTGATCCGTAGTGCTGCAGGATGCAGAATAAACAGGATGGTGGGGACTTTCCATCCGCTTGTAGAGTTTAGTCTTTCTTAGTTTTACATCATCATATATTTTTCTGTGCGCCACTTGATCGTGGTCTGCTACCTGTTAGCTTTAGCATTAGCCAATCTGCGTGTCGCTGCACTTTTGATCCCAAACTTTGGACCGGTTCTGCCTTTGCTGGTTCCTTTATTTTCCTCCACTGCATCCAGATGACCACACTGCACACCAGTAAAAGCATTTTTCTTACACGTAACTTACTTTTGTTCAGTAAAGTTCTGGGGAAAATAGTAATTCAAAGATGTTGCACCAGTGCTACGTTTAAAAATAGACACGCACAGACACCACTGTACAGTCCTGCTCTGATATGGAAGAGCATGGGGGAAATCAGGACGTCAACAGCACCAACCATAGATATGTACCAACTAGCGAGAATAGTAGTTTTTGATCTTTGTCTGCAGCGGTTTTAGCGCTTTTCGATGCACTGCTGCTGATACAGCGCTCCTAGTGGCGCAACGCTGTAACTGCAGTTAAAATAACATCCATGTAGCTGGGGGCAGAGTGAAATCAGGCTGGGGCGGCACATAATTAGCTAGAGGCGGCCGCCACGCAAATTTCAACGCAGGAAAAACCCAGAAATATAGTCAACGGATGTCAGAACATTACCCATGTTTGTATTTGACTTGTATCCTAAATAGACCTGGGCATCGTTTAATTAGTTTTAACTGATTCTGGTATCATCTGGAGTGTGTGTGTGTGTGTGTGTGTGTGTGTGTGTGTGTGTGTGTGTGTGTGTGTGTGTGTGTGTGTGTGTGTGTGTGTGTGTGTGTGTGTGTGTGTGTGTGTGTGTGTGTGTGTGTGTGAAATAAAAGGGTTTCAGGTGTAGAAGACAGTAGTGAGAGCATTATTTACATAATCAGAAAACGTGTAATTAAGGACATGGTCTGTTATGAATTCTCTTCTTGAATGGATGGAGACCTTTAAAGATGGAGTCTAGTGTGGCCAGCAGAGAGGCCGTTTCTGGATGTGCTGCTCGGCGTCACCACAGCATCCCCAGAATGGTTTTGTCTGAAGAGGAGTGTGCTTTCAAACCTCGACAGTGGAGTACTGACTAAAGGAACTTTATTGTGGTTTTATTGATACTTTTATCCGAGTGAACACGGTACGTTTGGTGAGTTTGACCTTGTTGAAGTGATGAACTCTGTAGAGCCCCCACGTCTCTCTGCCCGTGTCCGTCTCTGGTCTGTAGCAGGTGCTGCAGCACACAGATCTGTGGAGACAAACAGTCCTTGTGTCGGTCAGACGCACTACAACGCCTCTCTGTCTGCAGCATAGGAGCAGTTTCTAACCTGATGGGGAGATCCTTCCAGTTTACTGCATGATCCATGAAATAGCCTGATGTCAAAAACACAAGCGCACGACTGAGCATGCTGCTGATGTAGTGTGTGTGTGTGTGTATGTGTGTGTGAGGATCAAACTGGGACTGATCAGTCTTTTAAAATAAAATCTCATTTTCACGTTTTATTGTAAATGAGCATTAGGGGTATTTAAGAGTGTAAAGGAGTAGAGACCAACCTGCCATCCCGACCTCTCCGGTCCCAGCCAGTTTCAGGTCTGGGAATCGAGTCGGGTCCAGGGAGTAGACCTGAGAGCGATAGGCATTGGGCTGCATCCCACAACCCTCCTGAGGGTAGACAAAAGGATTCAAGGGCCTAGATGAGACTGTGACGTATTGCTGTAGTAACACATCATTTTACTTGCAGCAATGGTCTGACAGCTTCAGACCGAGGCTGCAGGAACACCCTAACCCCCAACTTATCGTTGCTCTTTGTGTGAATCACAACCACAACAAGAAACGATCATCAGGAAGGGATTTCAGGTCATTTCATCAACAACTAGCAGAAGGAAAACCAGGGTTCTTGCAGTGAAAAAGTGTCTTTTTTCTAGCTTTTCATTGATTACTTAGTTTTATACTTAAATGCTAATATTTTTATTTCATTCGTTGGAAACACTAGTCATGTGACTTCCGCCAGCTCAACTAAAACAGCTGGCTACCAAACACTTCCTGTCCTGACGAAGGCCAGTGCGGCTGAAACTAGTCGACATGTTTTTATTTGATTAGCCATGAAACAATCATCGACAAACATATATGGACAATGGGTTTCCATAGACTCCAATAACAAGTTTTTGTGCTAAAATGGGAGGTGGCCACCACCGCCATTTTGACCGTGTCACAGGTTCCGTCAAGCCCAGACCATTCCATAAAAGGGAAGAGAGGAGGAGCTGAGGGTGGGGCTGTAAGGCTGGGATCAACTGACGACACCCGGTCAAACTAGCTACAAGCTAACCTGAAGCTAACCCAAAGATAATGCGGAGGTGGGAGCTAAGCTAATGGAGGTAGCAACCTAGCTACAACTGGAGTTAACTGTGCACAACATCAGAGCTTCTGAGTCAGAGATACGCCGGGCTGACCGCTGGGTAAAACCGGGTGGAACACAGAGGTCTCTGAGAGCTCCACAAGCCGGCAGCCGCCCAGCAGACAAGCGCCGCTGCGATCTGAGATGCGCAGAGCTGCTGCTGTGGAGAACCTGGTGGAAAGGTTTCCATCCCAGAGCTCCACAAGCCAGCAGCCCGCCGCAGCACACAGAAGCCGCGATCAGACAGCGATGGACCGGGCTGCGGGGAGAAACAGCTGGCATTCCGGTTGGAAAACATCAGTCTCCCGAGAGCTCCACAAGCCGATAGTGGGAACCCAGCTCCACCAACATGTTATATTTCAACCCATTTTCTAAAGTGCAGCATTATGTTAAATGCACTGGGTTTTACCCTATTACATTTAAATTTCATGGTTAAACAGTACATGTTAAAATCTAAGCCCAGCTCGGCAGTGACCTAAAATACATAAATATAATTTTACTTACCGAAAAAAATGAAGTGGAGACTCCTTGGACGCTCTATTAGTGTAATTAATGCCACAGCAAGTCATTTTGTCCAACAATTGCACAAATAATATCCAAATAAGACGCACAAACACAGAGACTCAAAATCCCGGAACAGTTTCCAGGACAGACCGAGGCTCTTCTGAGGCCTTTCCACGAAGCTAGCTCTGTGGTCACGTGGGTCTGATGCTCATTAATTATACAGAATTTTAGGCTTTTAATACACTTAAACAGAAGAGTGAGAAAAACATTCACCCCCCTCAGAGTTGTCATGAGTATAAACTAGATCATTTAAACCAAAAACATGTTTTGGTACCAGGCTGTAAACATGTTTATTTCTGCTGTGAAATTGGTATTTTTAACATGGGAGTCGATGAGGATTTGCTCGTTTCTGACACCAGCCCCTAGTGGATGAGGGTGGAACTGCAATTTTTGGTACTTCTGGGTTGGGACCAATTTTTGAGCCGCATTGTGGGGGCTTGGAAACAATAAAAGCTTTTCAGTCACTTCATCCTCCTGAGGGCCTCACACCCCTTTTTCTTTAACTTTTTAAGCACTTTCCAGGTTAATTTTGAAGACTTTCCAGCATCTCACACCTGATCTGATGCACATCAGGAACGTTACACATCTGTAGACTAAATTACATGATTTAAATGTTTTTTTTTTACTTTTGACAGGTGTTTTAGCTTTTTTTTTTTTTTTTTTGCTTAATTAAAATCTTCATAAGAATAAATGAATATGTGTATGAACTGAGTGTAAAAGGTCTAGGCGGGAACTCAGCCATTTTCTATTTCTTTACAGGCGTGTGCACGTATCAGCATTTCACTTCCTCGTCTCTTAAATGTTACTGCGCTACAACCAAATTCTATTTCAGAAGCTCAAAAACCAAATTACAATGCTAACATTTATAGATGTTCCTTTCCATCTCTGGGAAAACGTGCTGGTCCACTCAGAGGAGGACAAACTGTTCCGGAATGAGAGCGTTCCCATAATTACTGAGAGTGTTTCAAAGCAAAAGTCTTTAAATAAAAAGAGTCCGCCCTGCCCCACATGTTGGAACTCACTTCCCATTACCGTTCAGCAGGCTTCGTCTTTGGCGGTTTTAAAATTTCATTTAAAGACCCACTTTTACGACCTAGCTTTTAGACAGCGACTCGCTTTATTGTTGTAATGTGTTTCTTATTGTTTTTATGTTATTACTGAGATCGCAGATTCAGGCCGACTGTTAATTCAGCATCTTAGGTGTGTTCTCGCTGTGTCGTATTTCTAATTCCATGCTGTAGTTCTTTTTTAAAACACCGAACAGTTTTGTTACCTGTTTTCCCGCTACGTTTTGTTTGCGGCTGCAAACTTCCTCAGGCTCTATGTTAATTCAGGCTTGTATTGTTTTTGAGACGGCGCCGCCCACTGTGTGGCGGCGTTCCAAGATGGAGGATGATCAGAAAGTAAGTAAGCACATGTTTAATGGTATCCAAGTATCTTATCTACCGAACTTTGAAAACTAAATGGAGTTGTCGAGTTAAGTTTGACAGCAAAAGAACGTTTTCTTGTGTTTAGCTTAAAGTGAGTTGATGCGTTTATACCACATGTCGGCTAAGCTAGGAGCTAACTTAGCTTAGTGACTGGTCTGAAGTGCACGTTTAGTTAGATTTTATCATTCACAAGTTGGCAAATGAAACAAGTGTTAAATTAATTGTGGATGATGTAAACGAAAAGGTTATAGGACAACGTTTTCATAAAAGTATGAAATTGTTCAGATTTTCTGAAAGAAGAAAACTTGTTAGTTTAGGCTAAAGTTTTTATTATAGAAAGGTAAAGGTTAAAGAAAGCAGCTCTGTTCAGATAGTGAGTGATGGTATGTATGTGAAAATAACCTAAAATATGTCTGATGCAGCTCACACTGTGATACCTAAACATGTTAAAGTGTTTTTAACATTGTGCTCAATATCTTTCTTTTCTCTGAATAATTAATGAGCACCAGAGCCACGTGACTTAAGAGCTAGCTCAACTCGGCCTCGCCTTAAAACTGTTCCGCCATTTTCAGTCTCTCAACTTAGACCATTAGTTGTGCCGTTTGTGTATTCTTTTTGGATTATTTGTGCAATTGTTGGACAAAAATGACTTGCTGTGGTATTAATTGCATTAACAGAGCAGCCAAGAAGTCTCAGCTTCATTTACTTCAGTAAGTAAAATTATATTTATGCATTTATGCCACTGCCGCTCTTGTGCTAGCTGAGATTAGCAAAGTAAAATAAAGAAAGAAAGAAAGCAATCTTTTCTATAGCACCTCTCAAGATAAAAATCACGAGGCACTTCGCAAAAACAAAAATTTTAAATCAAAAGCAGAATTCAAAAAAATGATCAAAAACATGTTTAACTCATTCAATGCCATTGATGACTAAAGTCGTCATTTGTATTTTTTTACTGTTTGGGCATGGGAACGAGACCCCTCACCAAGAGAACAAAACTGTTGCTCTTGTAATAAGTTAAAATAAAAATAAAAAAATATAGACGAGACCCTCTCTCTGGGCTGCCACCTTACTGTGGTGGAGGGGTTTGAGTGCCTCAATGATCCTAGGAGCGAAGTTGTCAGAGGCTTTCTGCCTCTGGTAGGGTCACCCATGACATACAGGTCCTAGGCAAGGGATAAGACAAAGAGCAGCCCAAAGATCTCTTATGATGAATCATATAAATGGAAAACATGTTCCCTCGCCCAGACGTGGGTCACCGGGGCCCCCCTCTGGAGCCAGGCCTGGAGGTGGGGCACGTTGGCGAGCGTCTGGTGGCCGGGCTTTCGCCCATGGAGCCCGGCCAGGCACCATGGGCTCACCACTCGTAGGAGGGGCCAAAGGGGTCAGGTCCAGTGTGTGAGGGGTGGTAGTCGAGGTCGGGGACCTTGGCGGTCTGATCCTCGGCTACAGAAGCTGGCTCTTGGCACATGGAATGTCACCTCTCTGGTGGGGAAGGAAACCGAGTTGGTGTGTGAGGTTGAGAGGTTCCGACTAGATATAGTTGGACTCACCTCAGTGCATGGCTCTGGCTCTGGAACCAGTTTCCTTGAAAGGGGTTGGACTTTCTACCACTCTGGAGTTGCTCTCACTGAGAAGCGCCGAGCAGAGGTGGGCATACTAGTTGCCCCCCATCTTGGTGCCTGTACATTGGGGTTCACCCCAGTGAATGAGAGGGTAGCCTTGCTCCGCCTACGTGTGAGGGGACGGGTTCTGACTGTGGTCTGTGCATATGCACCAAACTACAGTTCAGGCTACCCACCCTTTTTGGAGACCTTGGAGGGGGTGCTGGAAAGCGCTTCTTCCAGTGACTCCGTCGTTCTGTTGGGGGACTTTAACGCTCACATGGGCAACGACAGTGAGACCTGGAGAGGTGTGATTGGGGGGGAACGGCCCCCTGATCTGAATTCAAGTGGTGTTTTGTTATTGGACTTCTGTGTCAGTCATGGATTTGTCCTTAATGAACACCATGTTCAGACATATTGGTGTCCATATGTGCTCTTGGAACCAGGATACCTTAGGCAGCAGCTCGAAGATCGACTTAGTTGTTGTTTCGTCTGACCTGCGGCCGCATGTCTTGGACACTCGGGTGAAGAGAGGGGCGGAGCTGTCAACTGACCACTACATGGTGGTGAGTTGGCTCAGATGGTGGGGGAGGATGCCGGTCAGACCAGGCAGGGGACGTATCGCGTGGGTCTGCTGGGAACGTCTGGCAGCATCTCCTGTCAGAAGGAGCT